CGTTCAACTAAACCCCGAAACAAACGGACAAAAGAGACCAGGTTTCACTTGCAGCTCTTTTAAACAAGTACCTCGCTAGATGAAAACCCACTTGCTACAGTCATCACAAGAGTAACTGAAAACAGGCTGTGCTTTGAGCGGATGAACTCGGGAAGCCCTGACTTCCATGGCTGAAGGGGGAGGAGGGGCAGCGCTGGCTGCAGCTCTTCTGCAGCTGAGTCTCCCTGTCCGGCCGTCTCCTGCGTCGGGCGCGCCGAACTCGCTTCGCGCAGCCAGGCTGCCTTGAAGAGCCGAAGGCAAGAGCACTCGGAAGCTGCTCAACGAAAACAGGTAGGAATTTAGTTTGGTGGTGATTTCTGCCTCTGCCAAATTCAGCCGAAATTTGCCAGTGGGTTGAAGAACATGCTGTTCTTGCCTAAAATCTGTTCTATAGGAAGCAAGGCCAGCGTAAAAAAGGTGCAAATCAAAGACAACAGAGAAGTCACACTTGACCCTTCCTGAGAAAGGCACTGGCTGAGGAGCGCTCTGCTGCCCGAGGGCTGGTGCAGCTTGGTGCACAGAGCCCCCGGGCAGCCCCAGAGGGATGCCCTCCGCGCCAGCACGCTCCGGCACCAGGCAGCCTGGGAAAGCCGCACTGCTAACCAGCGCTTTACAGAAACCTCTGTCCTCTGAGACAGTGTACCTGCTGGCAAATATTTTGATACATAAATCTGCACCATGTATCTTCTCCTAGTGCCGGTTCTTTTGACAACATACAAAAATAAAAGCCAGTCCATTTTGTTTGCAGTCGCTGTGTGCATATTTAGCAACTTTAGCCAGTGATGCCAAAGGCCTCTTCAATAACGCTACAGGGCCAGATGGCTCGCAGTCACGCATCATAAATTCCTTTCTGCTATTTCCATCTTGTATTCACCCAGCTCAGTGTGTAACAGCTACTGGCGTTGAAGGCCTCCTTTTTCAGAAACATCTGTGGTTTTGATAAGTCTTTGTAGGTATGGAAAAGCTTGAAGTCCTTCAGCTCCAATTCTCGTAGCAGACTGTACCAGTACCTCACCACGGTGCTGTCATTGCCGCTGACCTCAAACCCAGGCCAGTGGATGTGCACCTCAAAGACCAGCTGTCCTATCTGCTCAACAACATCTTCCAGGATCAGGTTTTCCAGTATTTTCCACTCGGCGCTCTCCACATCTGCCTTGAGGACATCAATCTGCAACAAAAACACCATTACTAGGTGAAAATAAGAGGCTTTGCAATTACCATCAGTAACATCTGAGGCCAGGCTTGTCCGTTTTGTAACACACATAATTGTTCTCATGTACAATGCCTTTTGTATTAAAGAAAAAACATTAAAAAAATCTCGGAGGATCCTATGGCTAAGATGGACTGTACGTGAAGTTTCAACGCTTGCCTGTTCACAGCCCTTCTCCTCCTGCCTCTGACTCCTGGTCTGAAAAGCTTTGTCACCCGAGGTGTCCGATGCAGCTCATCCTACAACCAAAGCATGTTACTGTTCCTTCACAAATCTTGTGGTGCCATCAAAGCTGTGGAAAAAAGAAACCCACCTAACTAAACTAAGGCATTACTGTTCCTTATTCCTCCATCACAAAACCCTGCGACAGAACAACGCACGCTGACAGCGACTACCCACATGGCATTAGAGCGGGGTCCTCGTGTGCCACACACTACACGCACCACACAAGCGCAGGAGAAGGCCAAAGTGAGATGAATACAATGAGCAGCTCAGGTCGCCAGCTACCCATGGCCAAGCTGCCCTCTGAAGCTTTTGCAGGCATCGCTACGGATATTGAGTGAGGAGGGCCAAATCAAAAAAGAGTTAGGCAAAGAGTCCGTGGGGTTTTAAGGGCAGCTCCTCCACAGATGAAGGGATAGCAGGAAAGACCTCGTGAAGCTGTTTGAAGGGAAAAATACATCTAATAAAGCACCTTGTTTTAGTTTTAGACAGTTATTCAATTTTGTAGTAAGATACTCAGCAATCCGACTTCTCACAGCCCAACACAACAGCGACTTCGCTTTGCTTGGAGATTAGCTGGAGGAGGGGAGTCACAGGATCCTTAAGGTTGGAAAAGACCTCTAAGACCATCAGGTTCAACCGCCAACCCAACACCACTATGCCTGCTAAACCATGTCCTGAAGTGCCACATCTACACATTTTTTGAACATCTCCACGGCTGGGGACTCCACCACTTCCCTGGGCAGCCTGTTAATCGCATGCTTTAATAAAAAAAGAGCATTTTATCACAGTCCCCCACCAGGTAGAAAGCGATGACCGCAGGCGAGGGGCCTGTGTTTTCCAGAGCTGAACAAGGGAAGCTTCCCCACGTGAGAGCGGGGTTTGCCTGCGCCGGGTCCGCCTGAGCTGCTGCTGCTGCCCATCTGCTCATGCTCAAGATGCGTTTGAAGTGAAAAACTGAGAGAGTCAAGAATAGTCAAAAAAAACAAAAAGCAAAATCCCAGATTTTCTCTGGCAGCTTACCCTAACCGTTGTGGTCGTGTTGGGAAAGGCACCTGTGCAGGAACAGGAGAGAAATTTGGGTAGGCGATGTAAAAGCATCTCCAAGGCAGCCGTGCGGTCCCAGGACACCTCGCCGGCGTCGGGCCATGCCCCGTCCATGCGGGCAGCGGCCCTGGCTGCGAGAGTTTTGTGCGACAAGCTGTGAAACAGCTGAAAACCAAAACACTGCATTTTCAGAGCAGGGCTTGGAGAGTGGGACTCCAACGAGGTCCACAGTCACAGAGCGAGTAACGACAAGCCGAGCCGCTGCTCATTCGTCTGCTCATTAAGGCGGCGTTGTGCCTCCTCCACGCTGAGGGGTTACAGAATTAAAGCCCACATTGTGGCATGTCTGCATCAGGAGTGGAGAGGAAGCTTCCACAGACAACCTTAGCTCTGGTATTTCCTAAGCTGACTCTGCAACAAAGAGCCTGTCGGTCTGTCCATCCGTGGATTGGAGAAACGTTTTAACACAGCGCTGCTCCGGGTTCAAGGGGAGGCTGAATGTAAATGATGCTGCTCGTGACATTTCAGCTGAGAACTACTTCATGGCTGAGCTCACTTGTTTTCCTTTATACATTTAAATAGGTTACTTATTTTTCAGATACCAACTCGCAGCTCTACCTGTAATGCAGTTTTGTAGGTAGTTGATTCCACATGGGTGCAATTGCCATAGGACTGTGCTGCTGCACTTGAGGAACCACAGATTTTTATCTTTGGGAGACTTCTGTAACTTTGAAAGGAGACAAATTATTCAAAACCTTTTTTTGGGGGGAGGGGGTAGGAAGGAGAAATATTTCTAAGTGTTTGCTTTTGTTTTCCCACGATTTGACTTCATGGCAACAGCAGGAGGTCTTTTTCCCATGGTAATGTTTCCAGCCATCATCCAGGTTGGTTTGTTTTTCTCTCCTGACGCTAACTGCCGCTCTGGCTGGTCAGCAGGGACTCTTTTTCAGGAACTCTGCACGCTCTGCATTCTATTTGCAAAATTGATGCGAAAAGTAGCTGCTAACCAATGTTTCAGTAGGATAAAACGAGTTACCACCATAACGGCTCCAACACATGCTGGAATGACCAGGACAGAAACACCAGGCTAGCGGGGATGTGCTGTATACATGACCCCTCTTTGCTGCCTTTCGTGCCCCTGCACTGCCCCAAGACCCAGAGGGAGGAAGGGACCTGTCCCTAGCCACCAACTTTGGTGACTGCCTTCCAGGCAAGGTGTCCATCTCAGCTCAGAGTCTCCACTTTACGCCATGGATAGGGAAAAATAAACGGCAGAACACCTTTATGTCAGAGTATGTGAGCGAAATAACAAGCGTCCTGCTAACACCTAATGCAAGTTTTGTGATGATTACACCGCATCCCTCAGTGATAAGCAGCGCACTACTGATAAGATACGCACTACCACCTTCCAGACGCCTTGATTCAAAGTGCCAGTGGAGGGATTAGTGGACAAATCCATAAATTCAGAGCTCTAATTCACCTGGGAGCACAGCTGGAGTCTGCTGCTGGGAGTAAATCCTGGAGGGCAAAGATCTACAGTGCCTGAAGGTAAAGGATGGCAGTCTATTGCCTGCCGGTTTCGAGCACCCACAGACTAAGGCTGCTTCCTCTTATCTTCCACAGACTAACTAGGTTATCACAGAAAAGTAAAATACATAGATTTTTTTTTAATGTTTTCTCAGTGTTTAGCTCCCTTGGAAAAGCACTGCAGCACTGTAGCAGTTAGTTACACTTTGGAGAAAAAAATAGGCCTTTCCTCATGCATAAGAGAGCATAAAAATCAGCTGAAAAAAGAATGTGTTTTAGTTAGCAAAGGTTCACACGTACTGTATGAAGGCTCTTTTCTTCTTTTTTAGGGTCATGAGACTTGTTACAACCGTGCATCATTTCCTAAAGCAGAGATCAGAGCTCTGTTGGCCTTGATCAGTTTTGGAACGCCAGGGTTACCAGGGATTTCAGGCTCTGCGCTGCCCCGTGGGCACCATTTAAAGCTCCCCGTGGAGAAGAGTCAACCGAGAGCAAGTCGCTGGAGGAAGCAATTCAGCTGTGTTACCACCAGCACCAGCTCAGCATGTGGCAGCAGCCGCCAGGAAAGGCCAAACCAGCATACACAGCACAGGTCAGGCATGGGGATCCCTCCCTTCCCTGCAGCGTAAGCTGGGAGCAGGGAGAGGAGAGCTGGTCACGGCTTTCAAGCAAAGGAGCGGAGCTCAGAATCAGCCCATCCTCCTGAGCCACAGTGCTGCACTCGGGATTTGGGGCTGTGAGAAATAACCTGGGACTGTGAGAAATAACCCTCTGCTCCAGCTCCCTGATACCGGGTTACCATGTTGACATCAGCTGTACAGCAAGACGAACTCCGCTAGCTTATGCATCAGTTCTCCCCTCTCCACCCAAGTACAACTCTCTATTTTCAGCAGACAAAACTCCAGAAAAAGCTGTTTAATTCATATTTTGATAGCACATGACTTCGCAGGTAACAAACAGGTTCTGGAGCGTGTTGTTTTTTTTTAACGTAGCTTCCCTCTTTTCCCATCTGCAACCTTTCAGCACGACACTCCCCTCGCTTTATTTCCTTTCAAAACACACCCGCAGCCCCTCCTCACCAGCGGGCGACCGCTTGGATGTGAAGTCCCTTTCGTTCCCTTTTATTCCGAGCCCAGGCTGTAATTGATGGCAGACAGGACGCCACGTCGCCTAACAGCAAATTACGCTCCCAGCAGCTTGCGACTGCCTCTCCCCACGCTCCCTGCATGGGCGGGAGGGGGAACCAGCCCAGCTCTCTCCGAGCCGTCCAACGGGGACTGGGACTGCTGCGGGCACGGGCTGAGCAACACGGATACCGAAATCAGGAGAAACGTCCTTGCCTGCTGCTCAGCGATGTACAGCTCCAAACAGCAGCACTCAAATCACCTCCCTTCCTTCCCACTCACGCTCACACCCCCTCTGTCACGGTCTGCACGGCCACCTTCAAAACAACTCTGGGACAAACATGTCGTTTGAGATTATTCGCTCCCAACCTGACAGACTGGGCACATCTTCAAGTACCTGCTTAAGGCACCAAAGCCACAAAGCTGGTTTGTGTAGTTGGGTGCTTACATGGTCTTTGGTCTTTTTTTTTACAGTAAAGGGCAACTGTCGAGTTGAAGTCACTCATACAATGCACACATCGGCGAAACAGAACACCGGCAGCGACTGCAGATGAGCTTCGTTCCTCTGCTCTCACGCTGATCCTCTGCAGCCTCGAGAGCGACAGAGAGGTCTTTTTTCTCCCAGTTTCAGTGATGTGTTTCCGTGAAAGCGTTACACACCAGGGGCAGGATATGAAGTCGTTTTATGTTTACCACTTAAGCTGGAGAAAATGTTTCAAAATCATATTAAGAAAACTCATTTAACATTCTCTGATGGCCAACTGTCAGTACAGCAACAGCTTGCCAGAAGCAGTCACGGCCCCAGACGGACAAACGTCCCCACGTGGAAAGCCCACCCGCTGCACGCAGGAGGCATCAATCTCAGCCAAATGCTCAGGAGCACCATGAGCGCTTCACCTGTGCTGTCCCCCGGCAGATGGCTCCCAGCAAGGACCCACGCGGGCACCCCAAGTGACTCCCCCCCACAGCCCCAGAGCCCAGGCGTGGGGGCAGCCTGGCACTTTTATTCCCCACTTCTTCCCTTGGTCTCCGATACCG